ACTTGTATCGGTAAAGTTTCTTCGGAAAGAATTTTTACGGAAAATTAACTAACGAACGGAGGCGTAACGTTATCATATAACTTGAATAATAAATACGATTGGTTGTGTAGAACAATAAACAGTGCATGACCCTCGACATTGTTATAACAGACAAAGGTATAAAAATGTAAAGTTGCTGTAATCTGATTACGATCTTTTATTGTAGTGGATCCCATTTTATTGTTATAATTGACAGAGATTTTACTCGCCAAAGATGCACATAAAACATTTCGTCATACAAACGAAGATTACGTTAACACGCAAACAAACAGCAGGAAACATAGTTTGAAGGCAGCTTGAATTGGCAATGAAGAAAACTATAGAACAATTTAACCAACGAGACGCGTGATTTGTCTACAGTAAGTATATCTAAGATCTATTTTGCTTTTAGCATATATCACATAAAGTCTTAATTTTTATTTTTTGTATCAGGAAACCTTGAGTCGTGTGAAATAATTTACATAGATTATACGTTCTGGACACAAAACAACCCCGAGGATAACGTCTGTGAACATGCTATAATATATCACATTAAAGTTTAATTGTTAAAATATTAAACAAGCAAATATTTAAATTTTAAACATATATCGCATATTGCCACAAGTTATTCTATAAGCCAAGTTATTGAGTGGAGTTATATTAGAACACAAAACATTCTATGTTCGTGTGCGACAGCGCATTTCATGATTCGTATTAATGCTTCGTGACCTAAGAACAGGCCAAAGCTATGTAATTAAACTGTGTCTGAGAGGCGCATTTTGGGATATATTCAAGAGTTCATTATAAAAGCGAAAACGTACTAGTGAATTAGAGAGTGTTTGTCGTTAAGCAGTTCATAGTTCGAGCCGTTAAGGTCTCCGATAGATGTCTCTAACCTATGAAGACCGTGCTTTACCCTCACTTGTTTGTGGTAAGATTACTTCGTGGAGGTCGCTTATAACCCCAGCACGTGCGAAATTCCACGTGCAGTTTGTTTTAAATACGACACCAAAGGACGTTTATTAGTTTTTAAACTGAAGTTATATTTATTGAAAAATTACTTTTCATACAAATTTTAGCTCTAAAACTTTTAATTTACGCGGTAGGAAAAAAAAAAGGTGAAATTGTTATGCAGTCTTTGAAATTTAAAAGCAAAAATTAACATTGGGGAACGAAGAATCCAGGCTGTTAAGTTTCTTATCACTTTTGGGAAGCGTTAAAACAAGTTATTTAGTACCCAACTTTGTGTTATTGGTATTTATTTGTGATATATAGCAGTTGTGGGACTGTTTGGAAAAAAAAGAAAGAAATCTTTAAATTGTGATAAACTAAAGATGTCAGCCTGTTGGAGAAAAACAGCACGAACTATTTACCTCTCCGCCATTGGAATTCTTATACATCTAAGCACCTCAACGAGTGAGTAATTTACAAATTTGATTTTCGTATTTGGCGACCTCTTAACTTTAGTATGAACTTACTTTTATATTGGAAATTATATATACATATATAAAGAAACTTCTAAACGAAATCACAGCTTTGCTTTTAACTTAAGCTCTGTCTTTTGGAGTATTCATGGGCTATTCTCTATCAGTGTGTCCAGAAACAATTAACAACAATATTAAACTTCTTTGAGAAAGATCATTTGAAAAAGAATGCTTCTATTAATACAGAAAAATTTAACAAGAAAAAAATGTTCTGTTTAATTATGAAATACTGTAGGGCGGAATGAAACAGTTTGTTACCAAATTAGGAATTCACTGCTCTTAAGAAATGTCTTTTTTTACTTGTGACGTGAGTGATAGTGATGCATTAACAGATACGGAAACTATGGTAAGTGTTTGATATCGTATAAGACAATCAATTGCAAATATGTGCAATGTGAAGTGCTGTATCTTTCAAATCTTATGTTGCGATTGATCGAAGAGGATTAATTTCCAAGACATTCCCAGAACAAACGAACGCTATTTATTTAAGATTTTATCATTAAGGTTCAGCGCAACAGAAAGTAATAATAATTCTGGCACAGATGTTTAAATGCAGACTAAAGGTTAGAATTCATTACAATTTACAGAAATCACAACCACAAAATCCAGAAGAAAACTTTATTGATACCTAACGTTTCTGTTTCAACGACTAAGTGCCTACTTTTTTTGGTATTTGCAACTTACTTAACTCTTGAGAAAAGCAGAAGCCGAAATTTTGATGTTAAGAATGTTTCTTCTGTATATTGTGGTTGTAATTTTTATAATAAAAATATGCTCTTAGAAATATTGCAGCGAATATATGCATTAAGATAGCTAGTTCTTATCTTAAAATATATTTGTTATAAAACTGACTTAACTGTAAAACATAATTAGTGCTTAAAATTCCAATGTTATGAGATTTCTTTTTTCTTCGTTTTTTATTTTTATTTTTTTGTTGTTGCTTGGGGAAATTAAAAAGTTTACGAAAAAAATATCTAACTTATGTGTGTCGCATGTATAACGTCTATTAATTTTAATTATAAAAAAGTTGGTGTTAGAATATATTTTATTGATTTGAAAACTTTATACTATATAACAATTTATGTGTTTTGCACATAATTCTTGACGTTTATTAGATTCTATTCCGCATGGTATAAATACTGTCGACTTCTTGACGCTGAAACCAGACGTTTTATCGTAAATGAAACACTTTTTCGATTGTGAAACCTGATCATCTAAAGCAAGCCCTTATTCTAGAAAATGTGAACTCATACGAGAATGTTTACATAAGAAAGAAAAAACCTATGTCATATGTTCGTAAACAGAGTGGCCAATCTTCAAGGAACTCGAGACTCAGACTGTACGTGAAGAGATTGATGTTTTATGATATTCTCGATCTGTTTGGTTGAATCGTCAAGCGATTTACAGGACGTCCTGATCACCTTTAACCTCAAGTAGTGGTGTATCTTAATTTATTATTCTGTTTACTTCATCTCCAACGACCGAAGTAACTGAATACTGAATTTTGTTACGTATTTTGCGATTAGTGAAAGAAATTCAAGTTTTTCATTTGAAGTTGTATAATCAAGACTAGACAAAAACCTCCATAAAATCACATAGTCATAAACTTGTTTTAAACACGTTAGCCTTTTTTTAAAAGCACTTCTGCTAAATTGGGTTGTTTGAAAGGATTTATCAAGCTAAAAAATCGTTAGTACTTCTATAACCTGAGGCCTGTGATGTGTTCAGTATCTATTGAGTAAATGAACAAGTTTTTATTAATATTAAAGAAAGGGCGGAAAACAAAACTTAATATCCAGATAAAAAACACCTCATGCCAGATACTGGTACACTTGACTTATTCAAGGAGTTAATAAAGTGTTCTCAGGAGATGACTCAGATGAAAGTTGGTGGTATATTAAATAAATAGAAAAAAAAATTTTTAAAATAGCTTCTAACAATTGCAGTAACATTGAATAAGATATCAATTACACAAAGGGCTTGAAAAGCACATGACGAAGAACGCTAAACAGTTTATTTGGACAAACCTAAGTTAAGCGTCAAGCTACAAAATGTGTTCTGGCCATGGCAAGGATCGAAGTGCGATTTTTAGCGTTAAAGTATCCCATGCTTGCCGCTGAGCTACCGGGGAAGGGAGCATTTTTATTACTATCATTTTTTCAAAAGCTCTTTGTTTGGTTGATTCAGGTATTCACGTAAAAATGCACAAGGACTATCTTCATTAGCCTTCCCTAAATTTGGACTGATAGATGGCAATTAGTCAACACTACCAACCGCCAATTCTTGAATACTCTAATAGAATTGTGACATTTGACCGTCACTTTTATAACGAATCCACGATCCCAAAATGTTGAACGCACATTTGCAGCAACAGGATGCTAACCATGGACCATCGGTTTCACAGTCTGGAACTTTAACCGATAGGCCGCGTCCGGCTCTTAAAACATCCTTTAAACTTCAACGTGGTTTTATTACTAGTGAAACTCGAGCAATTCCACTGTTTTATCATGTCGAAAGACTATTAAAAACCGACTATTTATATAAAAGTATTAAATATTAATCTGTTGCAAACTGGTAGTTTGAAATCTACCGTATAGTGAGGTTGTATCCCGATGCTGCAGAAAAAAGAAAACTTTGTGTATATGAGTACGTTCTGAGGTCTTGGACAAATTCCACTATTCCTCCAGACAGGATTACTCGTTGGGTACTGTTGACTAATTGTCTTCTTCTAGTCTATCAGTTCAAAATTAGGAATAGCCGTGCTCTAAAGTTGAGAAAAAACAAATTTTTTGTTTTAAATTAAAGTGATATTAGGCTATCTGCTGCAGCCACCGCGGGGAATCGAACTCCGGATTTTAGCATTGTAAATTCGTAAACTACTGCTGTCTCGTTAGACAAAAGTAGATGAGTGATTCAAACACATAAAATCACTTCAAACGGAATTACGCCAACTCTTCATATATGTAATGTTATCACATTTAGTTACCAAATGGCGTTAACCGAATGTAAAATAACCGCCATGTTTTTAAAGCAGTCATGAAAATTTATGAATAAACAAAGATCTCTGGAGCTTTAGATAGAAGAGAAGGCTGCAATGTGGCAAAAAACAAAATATTCTACTCCAGCATCAGAGATAAATCCAGACTTCCCCTTCCAGTGGGGAGGGAGGGGGGTAAATTTAAATTTGACAAAATGAAAAATACTTGAATCCACAAATGTACAGAGATATGTCTTATTAATATTATTGGTTATGATATTTAAATGTAATTTTTACGAATTTGCAAAAAACACCGAAAGTACGTTCAGACGGTCTTAGGGAGAACGAACACGTCTTGGTTTTTTCGTGCATATAAGTCGATAACCCTTGACAACAAGGTGTCTGAAAGTACATTAAGCCCCTCGATGCTAATTTTCAAGTAGCTTTGAAGCATGTCTTGTCCCATCCAGTTTCTCAGTTTATTTAAAATACGGTTCGTGCCGCTGAAAGAACGTTCAACTCCAACAGTCGAAACTGGCACCACCATCAGACATTCAGTTAATTTTTTAAAATTGTCGTTACTGATGTTTGCTTTCCATAAATAAAGCAAAACATTTTTTATCTTGATCTTTTTGCTCCCTTGCAACGTACTTGAAGGAGGAGTTCAAGTCAGCCTACACGGCATCAGCATCCAGCCCATCAAAAAAGCTACATCATCTCTTCACATCATCATATGTCAAACTGCACACTGACTGGATTGTTTGAAAGGAAACACATACGTTGATGAACGCTTGCTCATTAAATCGGTTTTCCATTTGTTCAATCACAGTGTCAACAATTTTTTTAACGTTTTTGAAGGTTTTGACTTTCTGGCTCATTTTAAAGAATCAACGTCACGTCAGAAGCCTTTGTTTTGAGATCTACGACAGCTATAGCAATATAATTTTCTTTACTTAAATGGACACACTGAGTCCCTATATCTCTCAAATATGCTATCGTCGACGCCACAAGCTGAGGAACTGAGAACAGGTTTTAGGTTTTCTTTTTTCAAAACTTCGCTGAGATTACATACTGCACAGAAACCCTCATCCAAAACTACTAGGATAACAATAAAATTAGATTTTTCCAATTCCACCAAGATACCTCCTTCTAACGATGCTAAATCTGAACCATCTTTGTTTAGGTGCTCACAGACCATCATAATAGAACAGTAACAAGTTAAGATGACATGAACAGATTTTTAATTACTGATTGTTTGTTTGTTTGTTTTGAATTTCGCGCAAAGCTACACGAGGGCTATCTGTGCTAGCTGTCCCTAATTTAGCAGTGTAAGACTAGATGGAAGGCAGCTAGTCATCACCACCCACCGCCAACTCTTGGGCTACTCTTTTACCAACGAATAGTGGGATTGACCGTCACATCATAACGCCCCCACGGCTGAAAGGGCGAGCATGTTTGGTGGGACGGGGATTCGAACCCGCAGATTGCGAGTCGAGCACCCTAACCACCTGGCCATGTAATTACTGAGCCACAGCACTTCGACTAATTCTGGAATTTTTAGTTCAGGTTCTTCCAATGCCCTCTGAGCTTCGTGCAACACGCGTTCACGCTTTGATGACTTGTGGAATAATGAATATATGTATTTGATGACATGAAGAACCCTCTTCACAGACACGATTTTATTTCTAGTGCTGGTTAAGGCTAAAGATAAAAGATGGGCCTTACAATGTACATAAGAAATTTCCCTCCTGCTTTCTCTAAAAGTCGCTTACGCACACCACTTACTTTTCCTGAAAAACTGGCGGAACCATCGAAACCACAATAAATTATTTCCTTGTAATCCAGGTTCTTTTTCATTAACTCTCTGTCAAGTGAACTCGTAATGGTTTCGGAATCAGTTTTTGCTAGATTAGTTATGTTCAATAATTTTTCTTTTATTTCACTACAGTCAGCCA